TTTTTCAAGACAGGGTTTCTCTGTGTAGTTTTGGAGCCTTTCCTGGATCTCACTCTGAAGACCAGGTTGGCCTCGAACTCACAGAGATCCGCCTGGCTCTGCCTCCCGAGTGCTGGGATTAAAGGTGTGTGCCGGCCGACCAGCCTTTTTAAAATTATTTTTTCCTATGTAAAATCCACACTGATCATTGCCCGTTGACAGCCAGGCTCTGGGTGGCAGCTGAGTAGTGGAGCCCCCTGGAGCTGGAGAGGGCTACCACATCTCCCTAAGATTCTCAGTGGTCCCCTGAGAAGTAGGAGGGCACAGTGCAGTTGGGAACTTGGTTTTGAACTCAGGTGGACCTGGAAATTCGTCCACTCTCCACTTCCAGACATTTCCCTAAGCGGGGGACTCACGTTCATAGGCCTCCATTTTGTCAGCTGTAAGAGGAGGCATTGGAGTGCCTCCCGGGAGGGGTCATGGAGGATTCACAGGGTTTCTGGAAAGCAGTTGGCATAGTGCAGGGACTAGGTGATGGGGAACACCCGGGAGGACACAGTCATGATGGTGGCACTTCGAAGATAATAGGCTTCTGCCATGGTCTCAAGGAGGAGGCGACCTTTCATGTGACCAATGACACAAGTACTATGTACTGGGCATCCATGGGGGAAGTGCTTCACACAAGAGCTCCTGAATCCTCAGCATACCCTGAGCAGTGTTACCAGGGGCAAAGGGAGGTATGGAGACACTGTGTGATGTCCCCAAGAGCACACAGCCAGGAAGAGGCAAGGGGTAAGAGTGGCCTTGGCCAAGGGGAGCCAACCATAGTGCATTTGGGGCCTCTATGTAGTTCCCTGTAAGGGAGGTCTAATCCCTAGCCATGGAAACAGTATTTAGGAGTGAAGGAGGCTATGTATGTCTCTCCTGCCCAGGACGACAGGGAGACAATCTCACCCCTATCCAAGGCCCATTTTGTCTCCAAAGAGGGTGCAGAGAATGCCCCATCCTGTTCTCAAGAAACACTGAGACCACCACAGTGGACTGCTTCTCTTGAGTGAAATACAGGGAGTCAACCTTGAAGTATAGCTTTGGAGGCCGCTTGTTGCCTTCACCCCTAGCCACAAGAACATGGACAGCAGACAATAGGCCATGTTGACACCTTCTGACTAGTGGGCATACACCTGGAACCCCAACGGCTCTTGGTTCCCCATGATGCTTCCTTTAGGATACCTGCTTTAGAATTCTCTCAGATCTTCTGTGTTGTAGTGAGTGGTGTGGACAATTATGCATGGAGGCAGACATTCTCAGGCTACTCTGCTGGAGGGTGACAGGGTGAGAGCATGGGTTATGTGTCCCAACGTTCTCTGGACGACAAGCAGTACAAAACGGACATTTAAACTCTACAGCTGGCACCTGGGGATGTGTGCCCCACCTCCACTTCTGCCTGGAGCTCTGCCGCTTACAAACTGTGAGTTGGGTAAATTGCTCTCTCTTCGCTTACCTTTCCACAGTAGGACTCACACCATGGCTGTGGTGAGGGTGCCGTGTGGGAAGGAGTGCAATTCTTGGCTCGGTGTGGGGTTTCAAGGGTTTCCTCTGGCCCCTGAGAGGCTCCAGCAGAGCAAAAATGTAGGACAAGCCGGGCAGTGGTGGCGCACGCCTTTAATCCCAGCACTCGGGAGGCAGAGCCAGGCGGATCTCTGTGAGTTCGAGGCCAGCCTGGGCTACCAAGTGAGTTCCAGGAAAGGCGCAAAGCTACACAGAGAAACCCTGTCTCGAAAAACCAAAAAAAAAAAAAAAAAAAAAAAAAAAAAATGTAGGACAAAGAACGCAGCAGTGGACGACCAAAGCAGAGTGATTCACCTCCACTCCGCCCCGGAGTCCACAGGACGCCCTGAACTTCACTCATTTACAAGAGGCCCACAGCTGCTGGCCTAACCAATGTAGAGTCCAGAGTTGGTGGCACAGAGACGAATGAGCACTCATCCGGGCCTCCGGTAAGCGCAGTCTGGCGAGGACAGTCACTGGTCCTCCAGAGCCTCCTAACCGGGCTCGGGGTTCTGGGATTGCAGGCCCTGTCTTCGAGAGTAACAAGAAAAGATGACTGGGTGACTCGCATGCGCAAAAGCGCAGGAGACGCGGGATACCGAGGGGACTCACGGAAGGTGGTGTTGGAAGACAAAGAAGGATGAATTGCCGAGAGGCTAGAGATCACATAGATCACAGTTTTGATTTTTCAGTGAAATCTCCTATCCCCGAGGGCTGCTTCAGCAATCGCGCCCCAGAAACCCTCAATTCTTTGAGCTACATCAGTGAAACAGCTGTGAGCTGCACCACCGTGGCAGAGACGGTCGCTAGGCAACGAGCCCCGCCTCCAGTTACGGCCCGCTTGCCCTCTGGTGGCGGCATCCTGCCACTGCATCCGACTCCCGGGGATGCTGGCAGGTCGGTATATTCTTGTAGCTTAGCGTTAAAACTGGGTGGCAGCCCCGACACCGGACCTTTTTCCACCCTCCTCGGCTTAAGTCTGGCCCGTTCTACCCATTCCAGTACCCGTGCTGGGTAGCAAGAAGGGGAAAGCTAGCCAGGCGGGCAGCAGATCCCAGTGAAGATGTCAGTTCTTATTCAGAGCGGTTGGCAGCCGGGCTAGCTTGTGAGAAGGCAGCCACATGGGCTGCTGTTGGGCCAGCAGGGTATTCGAGGAACATATATTGTACTGCCCAGAAGGCTTCAGGGTGCATGCACCCCCACACACACACACACACTTCAAGAGAGCCATGACTGTGGTAGACCTCCCAGAATAAAGGGCAACTTCAGACTGACAATGTGGGGTCACACAGGAGGAAGGAAAGCCTCCTACCTCAAACCAGTGAGGGGGTAGCATTGCAGCAGGCTGCCTGCCTCACTTGGTACCCCCAAACCAAAAGATGTTGAGCCATCTCTGGATCGTGGGGTGACAGACTCAGTTAATTGAGAAACCCTCCCAAATCCCTGGGCCCTTGTGAGCAGGAACCCCTACAGAAGGGACTTTCTCAGAAAGCTAATATCCTTCTCCACAAACCCCACAACCTAAGCAAGCATCCTGTCCTTGCTTCAGTCTGGATGTGGGTCCAGGTGCAGTTCAGGCCTTGTCTTGCACATTTGTGCTGATGAGACATGAGAAACAATGTAATAAAAAGGCCAGGCCACTGACTCAGCTCCACTTGGCTGTACTGATAGGTCAGGGGTCCTGTGAAGGCAGGGTAAGTGAGGCTAAGCAGAGAAGGCAGGTCTTCTCCCATAGTCCCAGGTTCCTGAAACACTGTGGCCCGGGAGTAGGGCCAGCACAGGGGAGGGAGTCCGTGGGCCAGCCTGGTCCAGACCGGTTGGAGCACTGGGTCAGGCTGAAGTCAGGGCTGCCCTGCAGGCCTCAGACTGCTTTTACAGGGTCTTCTTTTGCCGCAGAGAGCACTTTGTAAAGCAGTAACTGAATCACTCATAACAGTGCCTGCTCTGGAATCTTCAAACAAGACAGACCCTTCTGTTGATCCTCATACTTGTTGAAAAAATAGGGTATCACTTCTTAATGACCCTGATGCCCTGACCTGGGACCCAAGAAATGCTTGGACTCTTGTGGATTCTCGGATGCGGACAAGACAGTGTGTGGTCAGTGTGCTTTCCAGGGTACCAGCCCTTTCCTCAGTGAGGATCCTTCACTCCAGGAGAAACCCTTCCTTCTGCCAAACATGGAGGGTACTTACCTACTTCTTACCCCACTCTTGCACTTCAGTTCAACTAGGTTTTCTCTGACTAGCCCTCCCCTGCCCCATCTCTGCCCTGGTACTAGTGCCACTGGACTATCTGTCTCTCCCAAATGATGTCATGACCCTCCTGGGCAGAGCTGGGTACTGCTGGGTCCAAATCCAGTTAACGAAGGAAGCATGACCTGGGGCCTCACAGGTTAGGTAAGCACTGCACATCAAGTTTTATCTTCGGCCTGCAACAGGGTTGCTTTGTAGATGAAGGAACAAGTGTTGAGAGAGACAGGAGAACAGCTCAGAATCCTTAAACAGCAGAATAGGATCAAGTTCTGTTTTCAAAAACCATGTTCCTCTGTAGAGACCACAGAAGGAGCTGGAGTCAGGGAAGATACCCTAGACATTTCAAAAGCGTTTACATCTATTCCTTAAACTCTCCTCTCTCATCATAACGGTAGCGGGGAGGCTGAGGCTGGGGGCTCCCAAGTTTGAGGCTATCCTGGGGCACTTAGTGAGAACAGAGAAATGGAGCCTCCTGCCTCAGATCATCCCACTTGACTCCTAAGGGCCGGGGCAGGAAAGGCAAGCCAGGGAGATTTGCCTCAGCACTACCGACCCCTGAACCCAGGTGCCCCGAGCTCCCCATCCAGGCGCTTGCCCAACAGCCTTTTGCGAGAATTAAAGAGACGTCTTCCACAATGGTTTCTAATGCTCACTTTATTCAATGCTCAACTGTCCTCAGAGAACAAACTTATGCTCTGAGAACTGCTTCAGTGCCTGTGAGTTCCCTACCATAAAAACATCCAACACGAAAACTAAAAATTTTTAAATGAGAAAGGATGCCTATCACTGCTTAAGCTTCACGGAGAAGTGAAGTGGCCCCGTTGTCAGGAAGTTCACTGACTGGACAAGGACCGGGGCAAAGACAGGATGCCGCAGACCTGCTGTCAACATCCCAGCCCCTGGCACCAGCCCTGCCTAGGCTGGAAGCCTTAATGTTTGTGGTACCCAGCCCTGGGGATCGGGCAAAGGGGGCAGAAGGCTGAAATGGATGGTGCCTTCTGTCCTGCGTGAGGCCTGGGGAAATCAGAGGCCACCTGTAGAGGTGGATTTCATAAGTGGCATGGCCCAGGATGGCTAAATTCATTCCTAACCTTGTGTTTCACCAGCCTCCATTCTTCAAAGACCCTGCCCCACCCGGACACTCTCTCCCTTCATATACCACTTTAACACACACACACACACACACACACACACACACACACACACACACACACACACACACGGTCCAGAGAACCTTGGGAACCACACTCATCCTCCTGTCGTGAAATCAGAACTAGCTGCCATTTTACACCTATCAATATCCTTCCTCGCTAGAGAACATGAACAAAGGTGGAAAAAATAATTGCTGCCGTATACGCCCCTCCCCGCCCATGGCCTGCGCGGCGGCCTGCAGCTTAGTTGGACTGCTCCTGGGAGGAGTGCTGGCTGGGCTCGGTGAGCGCCTCCGCATCCTGATCATCTGTAAAGGACAAAGAACGAGATGAGAAAGAGGTTGAGCCACCAGTCCTCAGATGCAGACTTCCTCCAAGGCCTTCTCTTGTCCCCAGGCTCCTGTGGAGAGTGACTCTGCTTTCATTTGCTGGGCAAGAGACTGGCTTCTGGCCCTGGCCACACGGAACAGCCTTGCGTCCCCCATCCAGCCTGGCTCTTCCTGGCTGGTTTCTCCCAGCTATGAACCTCCACTTGCCCTCTGTCACAGACATCGGTGAACATAAGGGGCAGCTAATTTCCTGAATGCCTTGCTGGCTTCTGACTGTAGTTCATCCTCCGAAGAGTCTCACGAGACAGAGACCGCTATCTGTCCACTTTGGCGGGTGCTGGACCTGAAGCGCCACAGACAGTGTGAGTTTGCCCAAGGTCACATAGTCAGTACAGACAAGACCGAAGTGTGTGCTCAGGCTACCAGCCAGCGAGCTTCAAGTCACACTACGCCAGCCACACGGCAAGTGTGCTGTGGGCTCCACTGTCCTTTTCGGTAAAACTGGATAGCACCAGACTCTGCCTGTCCCTTGGACAGTTTTGATATTTACATTAAAGAGCTTTTTGAATTGTCCAACTTTTCCCAAATCGCAGGAGACCCAGAAGACTGAAAAGACTAAAGCCTCAGAAAGCCTGAGACCAGGCTGGAGAGGCGGCTCAGGGGTTAGCAGCCTTTGCTTCTCTTGTGGATGACCTGAGTTCAGTCCCTAGCGTCTATCTATCTGCGTTGGACCACTAACTGCCTTAAGTCCAGCTCCAGGGGACCCGATGCCCTCTCCTGGCCTCTACAGGCAGCTGCACACATTCGACAAACATACATATTTGTACACACAAATTTAAAAAAAAATCTAAAAAGAAAATAAAAAGAAACATTAAAGCCAAAAGGGCCCTCAAAAAAACAAACAAAAACCAAATGAAGAGGTGGTGTGACAGAGAGATGACTTAGCTCGCAGGGCGCAGAGCTCTCCCCGACCTTCAGTCACACATACACGAAAAAGAGCTAAGTTTTTAAAACTGAGTTTAAAAAAGGAAGAAAGAAACCCCCAGGGCTGGGGAGACAGCTGCGTTGCCGGAGCACGCGCCTTCCAGCATGAGAAGAACCTGAGTGTGCTCCCTGGAAGCCCCGAGAGGCATGCCGGCTAGGAAGGTGGGGACAGCGGGGTCTCCCAGCTCTCTGCAGCCACTCTAGCCTAGTCGGTGAGCTCCAGGCCAATGACAATGAGATGCCCTGTCTCAAAGGAGATGGACCATGTTCCTGAAGGTTATCCTCTGCCCACCACATCCCCCACATATACAAACATACGCATAAAAATAAAATATCAATTTTCTAAAAAAATTACAAAGAAATTGCAGAGTGCTCATAAATCCCAAAGGCCTGCTGACCCTATGAGGGGGGACGGTGTTATGGGGGAGACACCTGAGGCTCCGTGCTCAGGTCTCCCAGGCAGCAATGGCAGAACTGCCAGGCACTCTCTAGCTCCTGTCATCCCATTGGGGAGTGACAACAGTGGTGTCTCCAGAGTGGCTCCTGCTATGGCTGTAGGTCATCAAAAGTCTTTGATCAAAAGTCCGGGAAAGCCGGGCGGTGGTGGCGCACGCCTTTAATCCCAGCACTCGGGAGGCAGAGCCAGGCGGATCTCTGTGAGTTCGAGGCCAGCCTGGTCTACAAAGCGAGTTCCAGGAGAGGCGCAAAGCTACACAGAGAAACCCTGTCTCGAAAAACCAAAAGAAAAAAAAAAAAAAAAAAAAAAAAAAAACAAAAGTCCGGGAACCTCTGATCCACGGAGCACACCTAGAGTCCACTTCTTCCACCCCTTGCCATAGCGCTGTCAGGGGAAGAGTCAGTCCTACGTATGAAGTTAGAGAAGGCCTTCAAAGCCATTCCAACCTCCCCGGGTGCATTTACAGACCATGAGAGGCTACAGGACGGAGCTCAGCCCAAGACCCCTCTCCACCCCCACTTCTCCTCCACAAAGTCTTCCCAGCTCATTGGAGCTGGAGACATTGGTCTCTTACTGGTATCCTCCTTGTCTGTGTCATACAGGATGGTCAGTGAGAAAGACGGGGGAGATGGTGGCGGCGGCGGCGGCGCCAGTAAGTGGAGAGCGGAGAGATAGCCTGACGGGAGGAAGTTGGACTGCTGTGGAGGCTGCGGTGGCGGAGGCGGCAGCGGAGGTGGCGGTGGTGAGCAGTAGGTTGGCTGGAGGTCCCGGGCTGGTTCTGACACCTGCATGGACACAGAGAAGGAGGGACGGAGAGGGAGACAGTGAGCCAGGCAGGCCGATCAATCACATCATTTATTTCTCTAATGGGGCGGGGGAGTTCCCATGGGGGCAGAGACACTTCTGTGTACAGGGCACTTGGGCCAGGGGTGTTCAGCAAACACCTGCTACATGAATGAAGACAAGCAGGGATGCAGCCATATCTTAGCTGAGCCTGGGGACTTTCCCGAAGGGACTTTGGAGACCAGAACTCCCCAGGGTTCAGGGCTTGGAGGAAGGAGGATTGCTCCCTAGGTCTGCCCAACTCCAGGGGCTGGGCACTCTTGGGAAGAGGGGACTAGAGGAGGCACATACAGAAGCACAGAGTAGGCAGGGACAAGGGGAGGTCACTGGGTGTGTGTCAAGCCTGTGGTGAGGGCGGCAGCACATGAGTGAAAATCATCTACTGGCTCTTAGGTTTAATCCAGATGTGGGGGGGGAGTGGAGAGGGTGGGAAGGGGATTGTCAGCATTCTAATTCCAAGTCTCTCCTTGGAACACAGCTTCTGCCTGGGGCCGGTGTGACAGCTCAGCCCCAAACACGGACTGGAATGGCATCCTTAACAAAAGCGTCTGGTGGACCTGTCGTCGGCAGAGCCCTGCCCTGGGTGCCCAGCCCAGGCTTCTGTGTGAGCAGACGGTGTGCTGCAGGTTTCACTGGGCCTCTCTTTGTCTGCAAGCTGGTGACACCTGTTCTCCTGGACTGTAATGGGGGCAAAGGGAGCACCCACATCTTTCAGGCTGGGCAGTAAATGGTGCCATGAGAGTCAAAAGCCAGGTTTTCTCTGCCTCTGAGACACACCTGGGATAGCAGAAAATACCTGGGCTTGAAGCAGGGCATCCCTGAAGGCAAACCAACCAGTGTCCTGAATCCCAAGTCTCATTCACGAGACCTGTGGCATTGGTGCTCAGCAGAATAAAGGCCTTTCTAGCAGCTGTCTGCTGTGAGATGTTCTGTATGTCAAATGTGTTGCTCTGATTGGTTAATAAATAAAACACTGATTGGCCAGTAGCTAGGCAGGAAGTATAGGTGGGACTAACAGAGAGGAGAATTCTGGGAAGAGGAAGGCAGAGGGGGAGACACTGCCAGTCGCCGCCATGACAAGGAAGGTGTAAGGTACCGGTAAGCCACGTGGCAAAGTATAGATTAATAGAAATGGGTTAATTTAAGATATAAAAACAGTTAACAAGAAGCCTGAGCCATTAGGCCTAACAGTTTAAATAATATAAGCGTCTGTGTGTTTATTTTATAAATGGGCTGTTGGACTGCCTGGGCTTGGTAGGACTTGGAAAGAAAACTCTCAAGCTACAGCCGTCTTGCATGAGCCAAATTTCATGGTCACCCCTGGGCTCCCAGTGTCTTTTGGCCTCCAACTTTAAGGAGCGGACACCACAGCTCAGGCCTGGGGGTGCAGACCCACCTGTGTGTGCACTCCTAGAGACACCCCCTTATGACAGCCGGCTCTCGGGGACTGAGGACCAGTGAGAGTGGTGAGGGCAGCTGGGATAAGGACCAACTTGGAAAGGAGTCGGGCTCTGATTTACCAAGCTGCCCCCATGGTAGGGGCTGCACGAGACATGACGGAAGCTTCTTTGTTGAGGGATCCCCAGAGCTGAGGATGCAGCCTGGCCATCCGGTGGGAAGGGCTGGTAGGATGGCATGGGGACGCAGGCAGGGCACTGCTGGAAAGGCTCTCTCTCGGGGTACCCAGCTCCCCCGACACGATCAGAGCTGAATCTCAGAGGATGCCCTGAGAAGACAATGAGAGAGCTGTTAATAACACAGACCTGAGGGATCAGTGCTGTCTCCCGGGGCACGACAAAGTGGCATAACCAACGGAAGGAGCCTCACATCCCACCGCATCCCGGGTTCCATTATACTTCTGTACACGTGTATACAACGTATTGTGATCACGTTCATCCCTCGCCCTCTCCTCGCTGAGGCCGTCGCCATTTGGCCCCTTCCCTACTTCATTGTCTCTGTGTTTTTGTGTGAACCAGTAAGACTAACGAGGGTTACTTACAGGAACGCGGGAGGCCACACCACTGAATAAAAAGTGTTTCTTAGCCGGGCTGTGGTGGCGCACGCCTTTAATCCCAGCACTCAGGAGGCAGAGCCAGGCGGATCTCTGTGAGTTCGAGGCCAGCCTGGTCTACAAAGCGAGTTCCAGGAAAGGCGCAAAGCTACACAGAGAGACCCTGTCTCGAAAAACCAAAAAAAAAAAAAAAAAAGTGTCTCTTCCTGGCTCAGCAACTAGCAATTGCCTCCAGATCCTGGGGGTGGGGGGTTCTCATGAACCTAATCTTAAGCAGGTAGTAGGTGCCGTGAGTTAGTGAGGACAACAGCCAAGTTATGCCCTCCGTGCTCCACCCCTTCCCCAGGTTCTTAGGGTGTAATGGGAGACTTCTTCAGTCAGGTATGTCTGTCTCGCTGTGACCCGGGAGACCGCGATGCCAAGCTTGCCATTCCCTGGGACCCGGTGGAAGTGATACAGGGATCCCATCTAACCTTCCACGGTCACCTATCTCCAGCACTTTGACCACTTAGGAATCTACCGTAACTGCCACCCAACACTAACAGCGAGCCCCATCTTTTAGGGTGAGTTCTGGCACACCTGTGCCGAGACGAGCAGTGCATTCTCAGTTCCCTCCTTGGCGTGGCACGGTGTTGGGGAGGGACACCTGACTCTGGCAGCAGGCTCGGTGTTCCACAGTGCTGGTGCACCAAGGGGGGGGTCTAAGTCTCTGTGTGGTGGTCCTCACTCCATTTCTGTTCCTGTCGTGTGGATGTGAACAGACACCCCGGGTGGTTCCCACTGCAGTCACCGGAACAGCATCCCTCCTGCTCATTTTCAACCTCACCGCCCTTGACTGCCTGGCCACACTTTCACCCGTCCAAAGACCTTTGCAGATGCTGGGTCACAGCTGGCTCACCAATTACCAGACCTCTCTACATTGATTAGCAGGATTCTTTGAAGAGCATTATCCTTCCCACAAGGACAGGATCCCAGAAGGCAAGGAAGGTATGTTAGTCACTGTGGCCAATACCCAGGGCAGTTTAAAGAAGGGATGACTTACTCTGGCTCACAGATTTCTGAAAGTCTGGCACTGAAAGCGCCTTGTCTAAGGTTACACATGAACAGCTTGCTGACTCAGACTTTGGGACACTCATGGGGAGGTGCCAAAACCACATCTACATCTCAAGGGGCATTTTCCAAGAGCCTCAAACTCTCCATTACTTGAAATCGCACTTTAGAGCCTGGAGAGATGGCTCAGCGGTCAAGAGCACTGGCTGCTCTTCCAGAGGACCCAGGCTCAATTCCCAGCACCCACATGACAGCTCACAACTGTCTGTAATTCTAGTTCCAGCGGATCTGACACCCTCACACAGACATACATGCGGGCAAAACACCAATGCACTACAAATCAATTATTAAAAAAAAAAAAAAAGAAAAGAAAAGAGAGAAAGGAAAAGGAAAAAAAATCGTACTTTAAACGTGAAAGCAAGACTGCATAGGAAACAATGTAATTTACGCACAGAGTGAGGCGAGAAAAAAGCCGCAACATCTTGGCCTAGTTGCAGAAACGCTTAATGCCCAACCACATCCGGTGAGACCGAAACCGTGAGCGCAGGTGCACTGGGCCAGACAGCGGTTAGGAGAAACTCGGAGGCTCCGCCAGGCGAGAGCAGGGTGCGCAGGCGCAGTCCAGAGAGCAAATTCAAAAAGCGTCTCCGTGGGGAGAAAAATGGCAAGGGGGGGCGGGGGGGGGGGGGCACGCAGGCGCAGGAGGGCGAGGCTTGGGAGGAGGGGGAGGGGATGAGCAGCCGGCACGGGAGGCCCGGCCTGCCTTCCTTCCCCAGAGGGTCCACAAGACGGCGCCACCGCCAAAGCAGCCCCGCTGCCATTTTTTGCTTGCAAAAAGTACAAAGGGCAAGACAACTGCATCTCAGCCTCCCCGGCCCTGCCCCGTCCACTCTCTCCCACCAGCCTTTTCCCATTGCCCCCAGCAGCCACCCACCCAGATCCCTGTCTGGGGTTACCTGGGGAAGGCGCCTTCCCCACCCCGACCCCCGTCTGGGACGCCAGCTTAGAGCCCGAGGCTGCCGGCCTGACGCAGGCCCCAGGAACCGTCGGCTGCACGAGGCCGGGCTTACCGTAGTCGGTGAACGGCAGTCGGGGCACGGGCCGCAGCGGCAGGCGCGGCTCGGGCCCGCAGGACTCGGGCCTGGGCGGCTGCGGGCTGGCGGGGGGCAGCCACGCGGAGGGACGGTCGTGCGGTCCCCCGGGGCTCCCCAGAGCAGGCTGGAAGGTGCTGGGGCCCGGGCGGCCGCCTGGGACCAGCTGGAAGGCGCTCGGGCCTGGGCTGCAGGCCTGCGGGGGCCTCTCGAGGAAGCAGGTGGCCACGGGGCCTGGCCCTGCGCCTCCCGGAGCCACCCTGGCCTGTGGGCAAAGGCTCGAGCTCGAGGAGGCGGTGGCGGCGGCGGCGGCAGCAGCAGCGGGGGCCGCCACCGGAGCCCCAGGAGGCAGCTGGGGCCCCTGCGTGCCCCCGGTCGCCGCCTGCTCCTCGGTACCTTGTGTCTTGAGCACCTTCTGGGCAGCCATGATCTTCTGGCGCTCGGTGATCAGGTAGCACTTGTCGCAGATGCACTGCTTCCAGCGGCACTTGCCCGCATGGCCCTTGACTGGCACCAGGTAGCCATGGTTCCGGCACCTCGAGCACTTGGGGGTGCGAAGCATCTTGTCGTCCAGCTTGGCAAGCTCCGCTTCCAGACACAGCCACCACCTCCGGAAGCTGCAGAGCAAGTGAAGCAGAAATGAGCGTTGCCCGACAAGTCCCAGGTGCTGGGACATTTGGATACACTTGTAACAAAACCGCGCGCAGAGTGTCTCCGGAACTGCGATGGGGCTCTTGCATTTTCCCCTCTTTTTGGGGGGATGCAAAAGTTGCAGTATTTCTGTGTGTTGGATAGTGGGGTACTGGATAAATTAAAAAATGGAATACTTATTGTATGTATGATGTCATGTGGGTGATTTGAAGTCTTCGGTGCTTGAATTTTCAAATTTTCTGTTCCCGCCAAATTGTAACCGGAAAACAGTTTGAATTTTTTTTTTTTTTTTGAAAAAAGGCGGACTGCTCAACGGTCCAGAGTTTTAAAACTCGTGAGAAACACAGGTGTTATAGTAAACCCGTTCCGTAGGAAAATTCCAGAGGAGGCAATTTCTCTGAAGCTGCTGCGTCTGCCCTCATCTCTCTCCCATTCTTTCAGAATACTCTTCGGAGCTCAGTGCAGTGTGGTGGTTGCTTACAGGCGTGCCCTTACAGAAATTCTGAGGTTTTGAGTCCTGTTAGTGTCAAGACTCGTATCTGAAAAATGTGTGCTTAATAATGTTCTAAAGTAGTCGGGCAGTGGTGGCACATGCCGCGCGCCTTTAATTCCAGCACTCGGGATGCAGAGGCAGAGGTAGGATCTCTGTGAGTCCCAGGCTAGCCTGGTCTACAAAGCGAGTTCCATGACAGCCAGGGCTATTACACAGAGAAAATCTACCTTAAAAAAAAAAAATCTAAAGTAAAAGAAACAAGATATTCTGGAGCTAGTTTGAATTTTTTGGGTTTGGTGTGTTTCCTGTTTTACATGGTGTTGTAATCGTCTTTATAAAGACAAAACTACTTACAAGAATCCTTAGCCACTGCAAACACAACGTTGATGGAGCATGCGTACTGCTTTCAGGAAAGGGGATGATATAAATAAACATCTTCCTGAGACGCAGTCTGACAGTTTGCTTGGCTTGTGACAAAGAATGGATTCAAGTCCATTCGCCCTCAGAGAAGGGAAGTGCCAGCCTTTGCAGCATAATCCCACCCAAAAGACAAAAACAGCAACAGACACACAAAATAAAATAAAAAAAAATCTCCATTTTAAAATCTCTAATAACCCAAACCCACACAATCAGTCATTTAAAAAACAAAACAAAAAAGATCTTAGCATTTGTTTGTTTGTTTGAGACAGGTTCTCACGATATAGCTCTGGCTGTCTAAGAATTCACTATGTAGACCAGGTTGGTCTTGAACTCACATAGGACTCTGCCTACAGAGTCATGGGATTAAAGGCATGTGCCACTACACCCTGACTTTGGCTCATTTTTTTTTCCCCAAAATGGTAACCAAGCCAACTCAGAGGGTCAGCAGACCGGCTGTGTTGACAAGATCAGAACCTAACCACAGAAGTGGGAATGTATGTCACTACACAGTGCAGATTCCCTGAAGCTCCCCCAAAGTCTTAAATTTCTTGAGCCAGAACTCTTTATTTTGGTTTTTTCGAGACAGTTTCTCTGTGTAGTTTTGGTGCCTGTCCTGGATCTCGCTCATGTAGACCAGGCTAGTCTCGAACTCACAGAGATCCGCCCGCCTCTGCCTCCCGAGTGCTGGGATTAAAGGCGTGCGCCACCACCGCCCGGCAGAGCCAGAACTCTTACTCCATGTGTGCGGCATTATTGGTAGGATCTGTGCCAGCTTCGGTCCACAGCGGCCGTCCTGACTCCGGTTGCTGTAGCCTGGAACTTCAGCAGAAATCCCTCTGGGATCTGGGCAGCCTCTGCCCACTTGCCCTCTGGAGAACGCACTGCTGTGACCCTGTGAAAAAGAGCTCAGGTTCCGGGCAGGGGTCCCTGGCCGTGGGATCGGTGGTCAGACAACTTGCCCGCAAGGGCGACTTCAATGTCCTGCCGGTCTGCACGCTTCCAGTTCACCTCCATCACAGCGCTCTCGGCTGGAAGGTGGAAATACCGAAGCGGCAAGATCACTGTCTTTTACAACCACCACTTCAAAGACCTGTCTGCTTTGAGAAGATCTACCCCGGAGACCGCTCACTGGTGCGGAAACTCAGCACCTCAGAGAAGCGCGACTTTGTCTGATGTGGTGGCCGTGGCTGAGCCAGTGAACATGGTAAGTCCCTGACCCAGGTCGGGGAGACCCGGCATTAAGTGGCCAGAGCCTCCTGATGTGAGAGTCTGGACTGTTTTTGTTTGTTTCCGAGACAGGGTTTCTCTGTGTAGCCCTAGCCGTCCTGGAACTCACTTTTTAAACCAGGCTGGCCTCGAACTCACAAGAGATCGGCCTCCTCTGCCTCCCAAATGCCGGGATTAATTAAAGGTGTGTGCCACCACTTCCCGGCGAGTGTGGACTGTTTTAGTTCTCGTGAATTTAGTTATCTCTGTAAAGCGATCCAAAATGTGGAAAGGCTGGCCCAAACTTCCTAGGGGTTTTGTGTGTGCAGGGAATGGAACCAGGGCTCCTGCATGCTAGGCAAGTTATCCAACTATAATGCCACCTTTTCTTTTCTCTTCCTTCCTCCCCTCCCTCCCTCCCTCCTTCCTTCTTTCTTTCTTTGAGGAGACTAGTGAAATTACTCAGGCTGCCCTGGAGCCGGCTCGGTAGCCCAGCTAGGCCCTGAACGTCAGATCCAGCTGACTTAAGCTCCTCTGTACTTTTGATTACAGTCAGGTCCAGCTACAAATATTAATCAGGGACATTAAATTATTTATAATTTGTTTTGATAAAAATCTGCAGCACTCTGGCACTCTTAATGAATGTCATGGCGTGGGGGGGGGAGGCACTAATACCCAAGCTGAAAAGCTTTGGGCAGAATCAGTTCTCTTTAAGGAGATATTTATGCTTGCTAGCTAGTTAACTTCAGTGTAATTTTCATTCCCTGTTCTGAAATATTTCTGGTGGTGGCCGGATGGAGTCGGCCTGGATTTCCCTGAGCCTGATGGCACCGCTCTGGGGGGAGAAGTTGCTGCCTCTTTAAGCTCATTAGACCCTGGAGAGCTGAAAAAGAGTTCAGAAAAATCTTTGCTCACTTGAAAAAAAGTATTCTTCATCTTTGGAAGTGCGTAAGAGCATGTTCCTTGGGTTATTAGTCACTTCGGGAATTTAACAGGTAGCTGGCACCATTTAAAGAGTCTAGGTTTTAGCCAGGCGGTGGTGGCGCACGCCTTTAATCCCAGCACTTGGGAGGCAGAGACAGGTGGATCTCTGGGTTCGAGGCCAGCCTGGTCTACAGAGTGAGTTCCAGGACAGGCTCCAAAACGACACAGAGAAAGCCTGAAAAGAAGAAGAAGAAGGAGGAGGAGGAGGAGGAGGAGGAGGAGGAGGAGGAGGAGGTGGTGGTGGTGGTCATCGTCTAGGTGTCTAGGTTTGTCTGCCCAGCTCTACCACCTAATCTGTTCATCTCAGATTTTAAAAACAGGCCCCTTAGATAAAGGGTAGGAACTCTTTCTTCAATGCCACCCAATTTCAAACTGTCCAATTTTTTTCACTAACCTTGTTATTTAAAAATAATACCTAAAAATAATCATTTCAGGAGCTCTGGTATCAAGAACTGGGTAGGGCATTCCGAGGCTGGATGCCTGTGACCATGCATCCTTCACAGAGTGTGGGTACTAGTCCTGGGGGTTCATCCTCACATACCAGGCCAAAAAAAAAGCTTTGGGGACCATCCATGATGGTGACAGGAGTGGTCCCCTGGCTTTTTGTCCCTAGGTTTAGTTGCTGGGGGAATCCCGATGGCAAAGCTGCCTCCCAAACCAGCCAGACTATAGCAAGTTACAGCCTTCAGAGCTCTGTGTGATGCTGGATCCAGAAAGCCAGGTGGATTGTACTTTGAGGAAGGCGACATTATCTGTATGACTCATTCAAGTGATACCAACTGATGGAAGGGGGCCCGCAAAGGCAGGGCTCAGCTAATTCCAAGCAGCGTGGCTGAGCAGGCAGAATCCACCGACCACCAGCTGCCTGGCGCTCCAACGTGAGGCAGTTGGAGCTAGATGACTGCTTGTTTGGACAGCCCAGTGGGTGTTAATGGCTTACACAAAGCTGGAAGCTTTGTACTGGAGTTGCCGTGGTCAGCACACAGACATAGCAGAAGTACTGTTTACAGAGCCAAACAGTGAACAAAACAAACAGAATGAGTGCGGAGACATGGCTTTTCATGCTGATGCCCAGAAGGTTGTACAGACACTGTCCAGTCGCTCCTGGCAAAAGGTGAGAACAGACTTAAGAGACAACAGGAAGAAGCTGGTCCCCGCCATGGCCACTAATGCTGAATGTGCATGGCTCCTGGAAAGGGACAGGAAACAGATCTGATTGGAGTACTATGCTCAGGGCCACTTTATAACAAAAACGTTTTGATTTATGTGTATGTGTACGTCGTGTGTGTGTGTGTGTGTGTGTGTGTGTGTGTGTGTGTGTGTGTGTGTGTAAGCCAGAGGTAGACACTAGGTATCTCCCTCCATCACTGACCACCTTGTTCTTTGAGACGGTCTCTCGCTGAACCTGGAGCTAACTAATTCATCCAGACTATCTGGCCAGCAAGCTCCAGGGATCTTCCCATCTTTGTCTCCTGAGCCCTGGGATCAAGGCATGTGCACTTAGCTTTTTACAAGAGTGCTGAGCATCCAAACTCAGCGCTCACACTTGCTCGGCAAGCACTATCCTGGAGAGTCACCTCCCCAGCCAGCCCATCCCACCCCAGCAAGATTATCTTGATGGAGAAGACTTGGATCCATTTCTCTCTGGAGTTGCAAAAAGACCCATTTCTTTGCTTTAGCCATCCCCAAACCTTGTTTCCCTCCACAAGAACACTGGTAATGTAATCTGTGTGAGCAGGGCCGTGTCGCACTGAGCCTGAGTAGAACACCTAAGGGAATAGCTCTCGCTCTTGGTTAGCCAAAAAGTGACAGGATAATTTTCTGTATAAAATAATTTGTGTTCACCAGACTAGGCTGCAAAGA